ATAGACCTCAGAGGAAGGTAATTGTCATGCCCACAGTCCAGGGTTTATCCAGAGGTAGTTGGAGGCACAGTGAAGTGGGAAGGGTAGAGTCAGGAGACCCATGTTCAAATTTTAGCATTGTCACCTGCTTGCTGCCTGTTATGGGCTAACAATTTTCACATTGAAGATCCCCAGCTCCTCAGAATGTGACCTGGTTGGAGATGGGACTTTTAAAGAGGTGATTAAGGTAAAATGAGGTAATGTGGGTAGGCCCTCATCCACACTTATTGGTGTCCTTATAAGAAGAGGAAGGTCAGGACACAGATACACAAGGAGGGTTGACCATATGAGGACATGCGGAGAAGATGTCCATTTATTATCCAAGGAGAGAAGCCTGGAAAAGACCATTCCTTTGTTGCCCTTGAAAGGAACCAACCTTGCCAGCAACTGAATCTTGGACTTCTAGCATCCACAATTGTGAGAAAATAAAATTCTGTCATTTAAATCTGTGTTCTGTGGCATGCTCATACACTACTTAAGTGAACTTAGACAAGCCATTTCACCTCTCTAGGCCTCAGTTTCTTCATCTGTAGAATGAATACATTATTTATCTCCTAGGGTTCTGAACAAAGGTGAATGAAATAGTATTTGCAAATGTTCTCTGTATAGATGTGTTGATTGCTATGATTTACAGTTTTCCTCAGGTTTGCACAATTCATTTTGCATATAATTGTGTGATGATAATATGCTAGACACTGTTCTTGGGACTGAGGTTGCAGCTACAGAAAATAAGGGCAAAATTATCTTTGCCCTCCTGAGGAGGGGCATGGAAGGTGAGAAAGAGTAAACAGGATAAGTACTCCATACATGGTATGCAAGAAAAGGGTAAGTGAAATGGAGAAAATAGAGGCAGGGGAAAAGATAAGCCATGCTGGGGTATAAATGGAGAGTGGCATTTTAAATAGTATCAAGTAAACACAAAGATAAGAAGTAAATGATGGAGGGCTTCCTGGTGGCGCAGCGGTTGAGCGCTGGGTTGTGAAGCTGCCCGCAGCCTCTGCAGCGCCGGTTCGCTCCCAGGTTGCTCCCCGGCCACCGGAGGAGGGTCCCACATGGCGCGCAGACCTCTCCTGCCGCCCGCTGCTCCCCTCAGCAGTGTACTTTGGTCCTTCTGCCTGCTCTGCTCCCGGCTCTGGCTCTGGTGAATTCTCTCACCCTCCCGCGATTCTGACTGTACCCAGTGCTTGTATGTATAAATAAATAAATAAATCTTAAAAAAAAAAACAAAAAAACAAAAAGAACTGTTAAAAAAAAAAAGAAGTAAATGATGGAGTGAATGAGATAGACATCTGAAAGAAGAGTGTTCTGCAAAGAGAGAGTGGCATGTGCCTAGGGCCTGGATTGAAAAATTCTAGGTAATTGTCACACATACACACACACACACACACACACACACCAACGAAGACTTGGCTTAGATGGTTTAGAGGGTGCTTGGCATTAACACCTTTCTTTATTACATATGTTAGCCTGTAGGGTTATCATCAGGGATGGTGGTGATAGATCATGTATTTGTGACTGGGGGTTTGGTTTGGGGGAACTGTTTTGTTTATCAAGGAGGAGACTTAACTGGTGGAGTAGAATAAGCCGAGGAAATTTGCATAGGTCAGTGGGTCTCCTCTGTGGGGCACCTCCAGCTTATAACTAAGCAGTAAATAGCATCTCTCAAGACTGAGAAGTTGAAAGAGCACAGGGTCCATGTGACCTGGGGAGTTTATAACAGAGAAGGGGTTATAAACTTTCTTTTAAATAAAAGGAAATAGGTGAGTCTTTATTAGTTTGTGTGCTCAGTGAGAGAATCCTGGTATAACAGGGTCCTCTCAAGGAAATTGCAGTCTCATGCATATGTATTAAAATAAATTGTAAATTACAGACAAGTAGAAAGTAAAAGGAAATACAAGTCACCCCCTAGGTGCTGGCCCAAGTAAGTGTTGAATAAATATTAGATGGCGGAAAGAGTAAGTGATGGTGTTGAATGGGAATTATGACCACGGGAGAAAGAATAAACTGCTGCCATGCTGGGACACGTCTATTTTTTTCATACTGTTGGATTTTTTAAAAATTTGATTCTGCATTTTGTATCCTGTTTTTTTTTTTAAACCTTAACAATAAAACAGGCACTTCTTTGTGTTATAACTTTCCATAAATATCATAGCATTATATTTCCCTGAGTGAATGTATTACAATTTATGGGAAGCACTTGTCTAGTATTTGCATGCTACAATTATTCCTCTGATATAAATAAGACTGTATGGAACATCTTTAGGCATGTATTTTTCCTTTTCATTTTTTATTTCCTCTTTCAACATACTTTTCCTAGAATCAATTTCCAGAGGTAGAACAGAATTACTTTAGTAAAGGGTCCAATTTCTTCAAGACTGTCAAAATCAATGTGAATCATCTTTATTTTATTCTCTATTGGATCACTTATCTCATTCAGTTTTGTTGCTTCTGCAAGTTGGGAGAACATTCTTTCTGTGTCTTTATCGAAGATGCTCCTAAACACGTTGATCAGAACAGAGTCCACATTGTGATTTACTCCAATGTGAAAATTCTATACTTTTGAAATTTCTATAAATTATAGTACTATCTTCCTTCATGTTAATTTAAGATTTTGTCCAATTATCTTACTTAAAGAGGGTTGTCTGAAAATAGTCATTGATGTCTAAGTGAACAGCGTATGTTTTCCTTCCTAGCGGAGAGAATTTCCAAGCTTGATGTATTTAAAGAGAGATTTAAAAAAGCATTTAGCACTGGTATCAGATTTATTTAGTTTTAATTGTTTTATGTGAGTTGAATTGGTATGAGTAGATTTGTGATGTTCTTTGCAAAATTCATTCCTTTTTTAACAGGGCACATTTCACAAAATAATCTTGAAATGGAAAGACATCCTTATCTTTTTTTAATAGTTTTTAACTCCTATTAGCTATAATGGGATTTCCACAAATAAATTGTCACATTCTGTTGAAAGATACCAGAACCCTAGCCCAGATGACCCTCCCCCAAGTGTGTGTGGGGTTGATCCATGCTTACACATGCTCCTTTTTTTTCTGTCTTCAATGGAACACAATTTTTAAAACTCCATAAAAGAGCAGGAACATATTTATTGGACAATGATGTGATTCTGGTTTTTGAAGGCTGACAGTGTGCTTCCATCAGTGTATTTGGCTGACCGGGAAAAACAATTCTTTAAAAGCTCCCAATAAATGACATAAATAAACCAGTGAGGAGCCAGGGGCCTGCTCAGACGCCACTGAATCATATGTCCCTGTGACATACTGTTGTTTGTGGACAATGACAAACATTTCATATCATCCACAGAAGTCACTGGGGGAGCTTTTGTTTCTCTCTAATAGCCCCTGAAGTCTTTATGGCTAATAGTGTGTATAATGATTCTAGTTTCCCAGCCCTTGAGAGGAGAAGTGGGGTTGGTTTAGTGTGGGAATGGAAGGCCTCTGAAGGTTTTCCCAGCAGTGATGGAATCAGGTCCTTTATAAGGGAGGCACACAACCTCCATCGCTGGGCAGAGAAAGATGCCAAGCTGGGACATCAAATCTAGAGCCCAAGTTGAAATCAGGGGGTAGCTTTATTCAGAGCACCACAGTCAGAGAACAGAGGATAAATACTCAGGCCAGAAAGGGATATGCAGAGGCTTGGAGGTCATGGACTGCTTGCTCTGGCCTCAAGGGGGCACTTTAGTCATGCTTGCTTCCTTGTCACCCTTGGTTTTCCCTAAATACTTTGATGCCAGGGGTGAGATTCCAGATCTTCATTTTAACAAATGCCACAAGTGATTTTTTGCCATCACCAAGTGCTACTTTGCCTTTTTAAAAAAAAATTATTTTATTTATACAAGAGCCAGGGTACAGGCCAGATGCGTGGGAGGGTAAGAGGATTCACCAGAGACAGAGCAGGGAACAGAACAGGCAGACTGACGAAATATACTGCTGAGGGGAGCAGCAGGCGAGACAGGAGAGGTCTGCTCGCCATGTGGGTTGCTCCGAGGCCGGCGGGGATTGAACTGGCACTGCAGAGGCTGTGGACAGCTTCACAGTGCTGCACTCAACCGCCTCGCCACCAGGGAAGCCCCTACTTTGGCTTTTGGTTGGCCTTTCCTAGAAGTAGGAAGGTGGCATCTATTCCCATTTTGGCACAGATCTCATAACTAGGTATTGGGAGGGCAGAGTCCAATGTCTGTCTATAGAACTTTGGAAAGTCATTGCTCTCTCTGAGTCTGGTCCCTTTATTTGTGAAATTAGGGGGTGACTCTCAACTCTGGTTATACAATGTAGTCTCCAAAGAAGCTTTGGGTCTCCTCCCAGCCCCATGAAATCAGAACATCTGCAGGTGCTATGGGCCTCTATATTATTTCTGAAGTCATGAGGCCCAGAGGAGTAAAGGCATTTGACCAAATTCTCCTCAGTTAGTTATTTCTACAGATGGACTTGAACTGAGGCCTGCGTACTGGAAGAGCACTTACTGATAACAGTTGCTGAGAGCAGCAATGGTTCTCCCACAATGATTTGGCAGAAATAAATGAAGAATGAAGGACAGGCAGATCATGGCAACCACCCTGGGCCCTCCATTCATTTGGATTCTTTTGCTGCTTAGAAATACCCTTAATTTAACAGGCTTAAAACAAGCACAACCTCTCATCTCTGAACACTACACCGAAGAACCCTTGAATGCCTTTTCCAATATGATTCTGATGACTGATTTGATTATATGTGTGAATTTGATTAGGCTAAGTGAGACCTCGACTGCTGTTAAACATTATTTTGGGGTGTGTCTGTGAAGGTGTTTCTAGGTGAATTTATCATTTCACTCAGAGGACTTAGTAAAAGTCTGCTCTCATGAGTGTGGGTGGACATCTTCTAACCCATGGAGGGCTTGAACAGAAACCAGTGGAGAAAGGAAGAATTCACTTTCTCTACTTGAACTGCGATGTTCTTCTTGTGCCCTAGGAAAACTGTGCTCCTGGTTCTTGGGCATTTGGACTCAGACTGAGACTGACACCATCACCTCTGATGTCCAGGCCTTCAGACTCAGACTGGACAGCACTACTGGCTTTCCTAGTCTCCAGCTTCCAGTCAGCAGATTGTGACACTTCTCAGCCTCCATCACCATGTGAGCCAATCCCTATAATTAATTTCCTCTTATAAATATCTATCTATATCCTAATGGTTCTGTTCCTCTGGAGAAGAGTGACTAATACAAGGATAGATGTATTTGTAACAATAATGTTTGAGAAAAGGCTGGTGGTGTTGAAACTCACATTAGAGAGACCTACTCAAAACCAACCATTTGAGAAGGAATTGAGTGATTCTAACCTCCAATATCATTGCAGGTGTTCAGAAGAATTGACTTTATGTTGTCATTTATAAACCATACCCTCTTCTTTGAGTCCTGAAGGCAAAAGCATAGCATTTTGCCTTGAAGCCAGTATGTTAGTTAAATATTTGTTTAATTTGAGTGCAAATAGATATTTCCTAGGTCCTTGTGGTTTGTGGTTTGACAGGGCGTCACTTTCTCCAACTTGTCTGGGCCTATTTGTGTATTTATGGTGGTAACTAGATGTTTCAAATCAGTTTCCCCCGTGCCACTGGGAAACACTAATGTAGATATACCCAGCTGCTTCCAGTGAGGAGACTCCAGAATCCTGGCCTCCTGAGATATCTACAATTATTTTTTTAACTTTCTATTATGAATGTGTTCAAGCGTAGACAAAATAGTACAACAAAGCTTGTGTAACTACCACCTAGCCTCAACAATACTTAACAGGTATATTTCATCTTTACACCCACCAGCTTCTCTCCACCTCTTTTACCCTGACTGGTTTATTTTGAAGCAAATCTCATTCATCTTATCAGTATGTAACTCTAAAAGATAAGAAGTCTATAAAGAAACCACAATCACAATATCATGATCACATGTAAAAAATTAAAATGGCAAGATCAACTTATTAGCATCAACTATCCAGTCAGTCTTCAGTTCTCTGGTTGGATCATAAGTGGTATACCTCATTGTTGCTTTGTTTGAATCAGGCTTGATTAAAGTTCTAAACATTATAGTTGGTGTATTCTAAAAATGGGACTTTACATCATCATTTCTTTTACTTTGCAAATGTTGTCTTTTATTTGGGCTCAGGAGTCCTAAGTAAGTGTCACAGGGCTAAGGTTACTCTGTCATCCCTCCACAGCCCAGTAGCGACTGCCCATCAAGCGCATCATTTGCTAAATTCTGGCAACAGAGACCACAGGGGCAGGTGGTAAAGATGAAATGAGTACAGGTTTCCAGGTGAGCACAGCTTGGGCCTAAGCTTTGTTGACACTAAAATAATGATAAGTGTTAAGCACTTGTGCGGAAAGACTACTGTGGAGTCTACTTGATGAGAAGCTGGGTGTCCACTTGAGAAAAGACTTCCATGAAGGATGAAAGAGTTGCTCCAAAGAGTGGGCCACAGGCTGTGGCTGATCATCATGCCCTTCAATGCTAGTAGATCCCATTCAGCTCCTGTAAGCTGTGAAATGTGATGGCTCTGAGTTTGAAGGCTGGTGAAGGACTGTGCCTGTTATTCAGACACTTGTTTTGATTGAGATCAGGTGCTCACTAAAATCTCCCTGGAAATTTGAGAATTCAAGTTGTAACACTGGGTAGCCAAGCCAAATAGTTGATGAATTTGATTAAAGTTTATGTCTGTGAGTGGGGCATCAGATTGGAGAGAGACATTTTTATGCTTTGGGACAATTTTATTGGCATCTCTTTTCCCTTTAAAGGAAGATAAGGGAGCACTCACCCATTCATCCTTCTATCCATCCTTCCACCCATCCTTACTTTCTTTAACCATCCATCCATCCCATTCCTGTTCTCTCTACTTGTTTGAGATTCTTTTCACTGGGCAGGCAAGTTCTTTCACATGGCAAGGAACAGTGGCTATGGGCAGCCCCAGATTATTCAGTTACTGTGTTTGTAAGAGTGGTTACTCCAATTGGTAAGATGTCCATCCATGTGACCAGAGCAGAAGAGAAAAAGAAAGGAATACATATGTCAGGAAAACAAACTAACAAGCCACAGTAGCTATTATACTCCAATCTGCACTCCCTCCCATCCCCCACTGACATGAGACTTCCAAGTTAAAGCCTCCGACACTGGTGAAAAGGAAGTATGGATATATACATGTACACACACACATGCTTGTTCATACAAACACATGCATATATATTAGCTGATTAATGCTTTGAGGAAAAAATAGTTCTGAAGTTTAGAGTAGTTTTGTGTTAATTGATATAATTCAGAATATCACCTCTTGCTCCAGAAAACTTGTAAGGGGAAAAAATTGGCATTTGGTCTACAATAACTGAGACTAAAAACAAAATAGACACTTAACAACTTTCCTTAAAAGTTTTTCTAAATCTTAAAAATCAGGTCCAGTTGCTAATAGCCAGTTTACTGGCATATATTGAGTGAGATCATAATCTGCATATATGACATGTTTATGTTCATTTTATGGAACAAATATTATTTCTCTAAGTTTTTAATTATCCAGAAGCATTTCAGATTTCAGATTTCTCTCACAACATATGTGTTTTTTAACTGTTATTTTTCTCATGCTAATCATTGGTCAGAAACTGTTATAAAACTGTTTCCAAAAGAAAAAGATTATTATTATTGTTTGGGTAATGATCTCCTTAAAAAAGACTTATAGGAACATTCTGTAGCAAACAACTGTAAACTGACAGCACTTTTCTTTAGATTCTAATATAAACGTGGTCAGAAAGTCTGGGCATGAGTCAGAACAACGGAATATTAAAAATGCAAATGGCACAGCTGAACTCAAGGGAAATGCTTCACAGGCAGACAAAAGTGCCATCAAGAATGCTGTCGTGGTGTTATGAAACTTTAATTCATGATCAAAACATCTTCTCCCTAGTCCCAATACTTCTTTCCAATATATCTTTCAAATTATAGTGGGACCTGGTGGATAACTTCTTAAATATCCCTTAAATTACAAGTAGATGAACATTTGGTCCAAATACTTTAAAATTCTTCCTCTGACTAAGCTTGGGGATTCAGTAGGAAGAGTTACATCAGCATAGTGCAGCCTGCCTCTTATATCTTACATCTTCCAGCAAGCAGAATGTGTTTCAGGCACACATTCCAGAGTTATGTTTAACAATCCCAAGACATCATCTCTATTCAGCCTCACAGCCTCCAGTGGAGATGAAGTGAATATTAAATAATCGAGAGGACCTGCTGTGAAATTCTGCTGCACCCGGGTAAAGCTCAGCATTAGGATGACTGATTTTTTTTATATTTATTTGTATCTTGTTGCAGAAATAATGTGTTTAAGCTCTAAAATGAGCATCACTGGGTGATTAAGTCAGGTGCAAGTTTAAGTATTAATGGGGTGTTAAAGGAAATATTGGTTTAACTCAGTAAAAACTAAGATCCTTTGGTCTTAGGCTGAAAAAATTTATTCAGATGTGGTTGAGTTTGCAAGACAAGGTAAATCATCAATACTTACAGTGGTGTGGAAAGAAATGTAATTATTTTAGGGTGAGCAAATGTCCTGAGGTATTTGCTATGACTAGATATTTGTTCATTATTGTATTAGTTTTCTATGGCTGCATACCAAATGACCACAAATTTAGCAGCTTAAACAACACGCATTCATTGTCTTACACTTCTGTAGATCACAAGTCCTGCATGGTGTAACTTGGATCCTCCTCTGAAGAGAGGGGTGAAAGCTAAGTGTGAACTGGACCGATTTCTCATCAGTAGGCTTTGGGGATGCATCTTCCAATCTTATTCTTGCTGTTGGCAGAATTCAGTTTCTTGTGGTGGTAAGACTGAAAATGTCATTTCCTTGCTGAAAGTCATCCAAGGTGCTTACCTGACCATCTGGGTCCCTCAATCTTCAAGTCAGCCACAGCATGTGAAATTCTTCTTGTGCTTTGACCTCTGATCTCTAGATCCAGATTTAATGCATTTCTGTGATTAGGTCAGGACCACCCAGATGATCTCCTTATCTTAAGGTATGATTTTGATTTGGGACATAATTACATCTGTAAAATCTCTTTGTAACATCAGCATGGGATAATAGCTTATCATATTTACAGACCTAGGGATTACATAGGGTGTATATTGGGGACTGGAAACCTGAAGTCAGTGTAGACCTCTGCCTGCCATGGTTTGTGTGAGGATCCTCACCCTGTAACAAGAGACACCTTTACTTAGATGCCACCTAGTAAGGTTTTCAGAAGGAGGGAAACAGAGGAATGATGCTTAGAGGCTAATTACCCTACTTTTAATGCAGCAAGCAGTTTATCATATCCTCCTTAATACTTCAAAGAATAACATGAACTAGCTAGAAACCTTAATAAGTACAAATACAAACCTTGCCAGAGAGGCAGGAAAGAGCCTGATTTCCTCCTGTGCCAACTCTTGGGAATCAATGATAATTAGGAAAAGAGGTCCTCACTGGCCAGAGACAGTTTTGTGGGTACTGCCTGGTCAGTGGGCCACAGACCTGAGTTAGCACTACTTAGTCAGGTGGGTACCTGTACACAGCCATGTGTGACACTTGTAGAAGATGTATCTAAACCAAATAATGCCAGGTCAGATCAGGCCTGGGCAGCAGACCCAGTGTTGTGTTGCATCTAATGGAGGAAAGAAATATATTCACTGCCAATCCACACAGCAAAAGGTCTTCACCTCAGCACCTCTGGCATTTGAAATCAGGAAGTTTTCTCTCTCTCTCCTTTTTTCTCTCTCTCCTTCCCCTCCCCCATCATATGATGTTAGATATTAGCAGTATCTTTGGCTCCATTCACAAGGTGCTGGTACTGTGTTCCCTAAGTTGTGACAAACAAAAATGTTTCCAGACATGGCCAAATGTCTTGTCATAAACGTGCCTAAAAGTCTATAAGATAGAAGGAGTGAAGAATGAGAAAACAACTGTTCAATAGAGATTTTGTAGCCTATCTTTTAGGGCTAGAAATGAGAGGGTATAAATATTGGAGAAACCATGATACTATGATACTTATGTGTTTATAAGGCAGAATGTGAGGGGGGAAAAGGGTACTGTGTGTGTGTGTGTATGTGTGTGTGTGTGAGAGAGAGAGAGAGAGAGAGAGAGAGAGAGAGAGAGAGAGAGGAGAGAGAGAGGAGAGAGAGAGAGAAAGAGGGAAAAGGAGAGAGAAGAGAGAAGTCTTTGCTGAAGTCCTGACTGATTAGGTGGTACCTGAGTCAATAGCTGTGCTATCCCTGAGCTTTTTAAGTATGTGAGCCATAAGTTTCTTTTGATCTTAAACCAACTTATGTCATTACCTGGGCTCTCTATCACTTACAACCTGGTGGGTCCTAACTGATACAATGAGTTTTTCAGAGAGAAAAAAAGAGCATTGGGATCTGTTATGTCATTCATGCATGAAAAGAATGGGAAGGCCAGTTGGAATTGAGTGGTCAAAGGCTTTGTATAGCAGTCTGAGAAGATAGACATTGTCCTCTACCTACCACAGAGGGTTGATAGAATAAGTCTGCTCAGCAGTCCTGAAACTTTGAATCTGACTTTTACAGGCAGAAGTATATCAGAAAAGCACCCTTATTTCATTGTCTTAGATGACTCACTTCCATTGTAGTAAAATTATGTAACTGATATTAGGAATGAAAATCCATAAACATCAAGAGAAATGTGTATCCATGATCCATAAAGCTGATTTATAAAGAAGAATTTGCCAAGAAGACTTGATTGCTTTTATTGATAGAATGGCTAAATTAGAAGATGAAAGGATCACACTAGAAGTCATAGATCTTATTTCAGTAATGCAGCTGATATATTATCTCACAAAATTTTGCTTGACAAATTAATTCAAATTAGATTGGCAGAGGAGCTGTCAGCACAGATTGAGAGCTGGATGGAGACTCATAAAGCAAAGGTAATGACAAACAGTCATGGGTAGAAATCCTGCGAGCTGCCCATGTGCGACTCAAGGAGTGATCTAGTTCTGGATTCATGGAATCTCTTAATTCCTTATTGAGAAGAAGGGCCCCATAAATGCAAGACTGATTTCCAGCCACTTAACAGATGAGTTGAGGAGGTCACTAGCAATTGAGGAGGGACATGGAGGAGGAACTGGACAGACTGAGCCTCTGTGGGTTGAAAACTCATGGAGGCTGAACTCAGTGGGGCTGCAGAACAAGCTGGGGGGTAGGTCTTGGCTGGAGTGGACAGAGGAAAGAATATGCTCATAATGGTAACTATTGCTCTGTATCAAGGTAACTGTATATTTCGATATAAAAGCACAAATCCAAGTGCCTAAAACAGGGCCAGGGAGAGAGATGAAAGGGAGTGAAATTGAATGCAAGAATTCTTCATAGTAACAAAAACAAGTAAAATCTGTTAATATGGGTGGCTCTTACATCATGGTGTTGAATAAAAGTAGTTAGACCCGAAAGAAGATATTCAATAAGAGTTCATATCCAGAGACAAAGAACAAAGGGGAGAGACCGGGCGTGCAGGGGATTGCGTCCCCTGCACCGGCATTTTGCAGCAGGGACCTTTCTTGCTGGAGACTGTGTGAACCCAGCAGAAGGCTCACCGAGGAGACAGAGGTAAGCTGGGAGGCTTGCCCATGCCGGGCGCCTTCTAGCCTGCAGTTCCAGCCCAGAGGAGAGCAGCACCCACCACTGGGGCAGACCGGGCGTGCAGGGGAGCACGTTCCCGCATCGCCATTTTGCAGCAGGGACTTTTCTTTGCTGGAGACTTGTGAACCCAGCAGAAGTTCCCCAGAGGAGCCAGTGGTGAGCTGGGAAGGTCGCCCAAGATGCCGGCCAGTACCAGCAACACAGTGTCACAAGGAATACGGCAAATTAGAAAACAGGCAGTAGGGAGGAGAAGAACCACATGCAACCCAGCAACTCCTCAGCAAAAAAGCACACCGCAAAAAGAAAACCATCTACCAGATTGCAACGACAGTAACTTGGAAGAACTTCTGAGCCTTCCAGATAGAGAATTTAAAATTGCTGTGATTAAAAAACTGACAGAAGTCATAAAGGAAGACAATGATAAGGGGAAAATAATTAATGACCAGAAGAATGAAATTGAGTCCCTAAAGAGGGAAATAAAAGAAATGCAGGCGATCAAAGAATTAATGGAGACGCTAAAGAACTCTGGGAAAAGCAATGAAAGCAGAATAGATGAAATGGAAGAACGAATAAGTACTCTTGAAGACACAGAAATAAAAAGAACTAAAACAGAAAAGGAAGG